GCTCTTCTATAGATCTCTTGGTTTCCATACTTAACTTTGATTAATTTGTATATTATCGTGTTGCGTTGTTAACTATTTTAAGTTTGTCTTTCTTATCACGATATTAAATTATTTATCTCCATTTATACTATCGTTCTTCTGTCTCAGTTCAAACTTAACCCATTGTCTTACTATTTGTTCCTTAAAGTTTTAACCCATCTATTTTTTTCTTTTCTGATAATGAACAAATTGTAATACACAATGTAAAATATTTTTTTATGTATGATTATAAGACTGTAAGCTTGAATAATGGTGTATATAAATAATTAATTAGGAACAACTTTTCTAATAGGTTCGACGACAAGGTTTGGGTAATGGGTTAAATGAAGCTATAGAAATGTACAATGTATGTATAACTGTAAAGTTCGAACTGTTTTTACAACTACATAACAGTTTATCACGAAATTAGATAATTCTCTCATGGTTGGAATACCAACAAAGAAGAAAGTATAGGGCTAAGATAAACACTTGGTTCGTCCACCTGTTCAACAAAGTACATCCAACTGTTAAACAAGCACACAACATAGTCAGATGCCTTTAATTTTGTTTTGTTTTTTTAGATTAAAGCAATCCCGAAAACATCTGCTACATATACATGTAATAGTGTCTATAATTGACAGAGTTTAATCTACAAGTGTTGTAATGTAAGCAACTTACTTCGTTCCGCGAAATGAAGCCTATGTAAGCGTATGATTTTGTGTACACTTGTTTTATCTATCAATTTAACTGAATTCGCCCAAAAGCTCAGTGCTAAATTTGTATGTATAACCCTCACTAACGCTAGACCATTAAAAATGACCGAGTTAATTTCAAAAGTTTAGTATTTGCTTTTCGCCACCGTCCCTAATATTGAACTACCGACCGGAGGCACCACCTGACCGCCCACAGACTAAAAGTAAGGAAATATTTTGTGGTGTCACACGGATTCAAACCAGGCTCGCCAGCTCTGAAATCCAGAATTTTGTCACGGATCCAATACGCGTTTAAATAGACAAGTAACAATCTTACGTGTAATATATCTAATAAGTATACGTAATAAAATCAAACTAACCCTTTTTTGAATAGATTTAGGCTTGTTGAAGGCACTTCAGGAAGAAGCATCTGAATGAATGTAATAACTTGATGTGTTCCGTTTCAAGAGTCAATAAAACCAAAATTAAGAGTAAAAAATATTTTTTTATTTCTTGCTGTGGAAGTTCATATGTGATGCTGTGTTGTAGCCTACAACTCTTCTCGTGATCCATGAGAGGCGCGCGTTTTACTGACAGTACAAATTGCAAAGTTAAGCGTCCCTTATGTGACGTCATTTTAGTGTCTACTGACTGACTGACAGACAACACGCTACTGTATGGTGATGCAAGTGGTTAAAACAGATGACACCTACAGACGGTCCTAGGCCCCCTTTCGGGAAAAATATAGTTGTGGCGCTGTACTGTCGATTCAAAAATCTTAACTTCAGATATAAGTTAGTTACCTTTGGATCTTGTTTCTATGTAGATGAAAAGAATAAACACAGCATACTCGTAGAAGCGTGAAATATGAATCACCTTAAGTAAACGATTTGTATATGCTATTACAGTGAGTTGTCGCCACAGGAACATCTTTAGCGCCTATATTACTAGATAATTCCCGAGCATTCGACAATACAATACTGTTACGGTTAGATTTATTCACGGGGAGAAAAGTTTACAAAAAGAAAT